TGATCTTATCATTCAGTGTATTATTGGGTTTTAAATCAAATGTACTCAGTCTTCCACGTTCAGTTATAAAACTGTAAAGAGACCCTGTCACCAACTTTGCATGTAAAAGCACAGATAAATCAAGTATTTTACATACACCCTTGCAGTGTTTTCCTTACCAAAATGTTGTTTTTATGGCCTTGCAATGTTCCTCCTGAACATGCTAGAAAAGTTTGACTTGTTCAGGAAGAGTCAATTCCCTAGCACAGCCTTCCTTTATTGGAGCCCTCTCCTCTTCTGGGAGTGTCTAATTACTGTCTGTCTGGGGCTTATAATATCCCCTTTTGCTTCTCCACCAGCATTTACCGTAAATAAAAATGCTGGTGGAGAAGCAAAAGGGGATATTATAAATTGGCACTTGAGTGATAGCTCTGAGTCTGTTGGAGCTGACATCTAATCTAAGATGGAGGCACTCAGCAGGATTCTCAGGGCTTTTGTATTTCTACACAACGGAATCTTTTACAGGTATATACCATGCATAAAATATGTTAAATGCACAGACATTTAACATATTTAACTTCTTTATAATTAAGAGAACCTGTCGACAGATTCTCTTTAAGCAGCCACACCCCGTGAGATATAATACAAAAGCCCAACCGCAGTCAAAGCTTTTTGTTTTTTGACAGGGTGCTCTTTCAGGTTTTATTGCTGTCTGTGTCTTCATTCGGGAGATTTACAATCATTTCCCAGTCTGTAACCACTGACCAAGTGTGCAAGCTTTCACGTTATTTAAAAAAAAAGTTTTGGGTGGTGTTCCACTTTTAAGGCACCGTCTACTCAAAACTGACATTACATTGTTTGGTAGATGCTAGAGAGTTAATTTGCCTGACAGTCTCTTCTGCCCCCTGGGGACTCTATTGGTGAGATCTCTGAACTGAGTTCCTGGGGGTGTACACCTTCTGTGCCCATTATGAGGGGTTCCCACCATCCCTGCGCTGAGTTCCTTGGTCAGCACAACCTCTGTGCCCATTATAAGGGGCTTCCACCACCCCTGTGTTGAGTTCCTTGATCAGAGCACCTTCTGTACCCATTATGGGGTGCTACCACTATCCCTGTATTGAGTTCCCAGGTCTGCTGTGCTCATTATGAGGTGCTCCCACCATCCCTGTGGTGCGTTCCTGGTTCTTCCTCACCTGCTGTGTCCATTTTGAGGGTTTCCACCATCCCTGTGCTGAGTTCCTGGTTCTACACACCTGCTGTGCCCATTATGAGGGGTTCCCACCATCCCTGGGCTGAGTTCCAGGTTCTACACACCTGCTGTGTTCATTATGAGGGGTTCCCAATATCCCCTGTGCTGAGTTTCCGGGTCTACACACCTTCTGTGTCCATTATGAGGAGTTCCCACCATCTGTACTAAATAATGTATTAATTTTGTAATATGTATAATGTAATAGGAGAAGCTGGTAACACACAAAGATTGGAAACACCCAAAACTCCCTAGGGGACAGGAGCAGAAGCAGGAAGAATTTCCGTTCTTTTCAGTGATGCACTTGTGTGCTTTTGTATGGTTTGTTTGTAAAAATCATTCTGCTTGATATATTTTTATTGGTGTGTGCATACAGCACATCTTCCATAAGTATGAGCTGATAAATGTATCATGTTCTTGTTCTTTAGATTCCTGGATTATTTGTCGGATCTCTGTGTGTCAAATACGACCGCCATACCTGTAACTCAGGAGCTGATCTGTAAATTTATGTTGAGCCCAGGAAACGCCGATATCCTCATTCAGACCAAGTAAGTACTTTAATACGGTAGCTGCAATGCAGATCCTCCCTTCGGGGGCTCATGTCACTATCAGGACCTCATTTAATTTAAGCACCTTCTATGTTTGTAGAATTTGGGTTTTTGGTGGTGTCTGTGGTGGTGGTGAGGTTGGGGTTATTTTGGGATTGCCTAAATGCAGGCTTTTATAGGTTTCAAAGGGCCGGGTCAACCTGTAGCAAATCATGGGACAATCACAGCACTAGGTAGCCCATATCGCACCAAAATGTGACATTGGTGGCACTAGACACGCTTGTAGCCAATCAGAGAACTGGGACATTCTCAGTGCTAGGCCAACTCATACCATACCAGGTTGTGGAAGCATTGATGGGGCTAGGCCAGCGGTTCTCAAACTTTCTAGTGCCGCGACCCTTTGATAACAATTCCCAAGTTTGATAACAATGCCCTAAAAGTAAAAAATATTTCCGTTGCTCCTTCATCGCTGTAATTTTGCTACCGTTAGATAGCTATTAGATAGCGGCTCCCGGGAGAGAAACACTTTGACAGCAGCAGTGACAGCAGCAGTGGGAGGGTGCAATAGCTAGTTTGCTATTGGCTATTGCAAAGTGAAATATGCATTCCTATGCTGTTTTTTTTTTCTCTTTTTCTCTGACTGATGGCGGCCGGCGGCTCCGATGTCAGAAAAAAAAATCGATCGGGCAGAGTAAACCTTTCCCGGAGAAAGTGTTTCTCTCCCGGACGGCGGGGAGCCGCTATCTAATAGCGGGAGACTCCTGGAGTGTCCGGGAGAGTCGGGATGTCTTTAGGCGACCCCTGGCAAATCGTCATTCGACCCCCGATGGGGTCGCGACCGACAGGTTGAGAACCGCTGAGCTAGGCAATCCTGTAGCCATCCAAAATATTAATGCAGCAATCAAATATTATTTCACACACCAGCCGAAAGGCAATATTTCTGGTCTTTGAGTGATGTTTTATCTTCTGAATATTTTATGCAGAGGGACAGAAGTGGATGCTTCAAGGCCGCAGAAAAAGAAATGTAATCTCTTTATATCTCTCTACAATTTTATTTGCCTAAAGTGAACCTATCAATAGAAAAAATGGATTCAAATAACATAATTTCATAATAGGAGGCACCACAAGATGCCTTAGCACACCTTTTTTCTTAATTCTAAAATATTTTTTAGCACATGCCCGGTAGCCTTAAAACTCATCCCAACACACCCCAAATGTAAATACAAGGGTATTGGTCTGCTGTACAAAGCACTGCTAGAGCAGATTGCATGCCTTAGTTTGAAGTTGACATATAACATACATGATGTATTGTGCTTCTAGACTGGTCTCACTGCAGATGGACAATCCCCTGGAATGCTCTGTGCTTGCTGATGACATTGATGAAGAGGAGGTCTGGTTATATTGGATTGACAGCAATAAAGAGCCACATGGCAAAGCCATCCGACACCTGGCACAGGAAGCTAAGGAGGGAACTAAAGCTGACCTTGAAGTTTTAAATTACTACAGGTGAATGTCATTGCAACTTTTAGGGGAATGCGTAGCATTGTCAGCTTTTTCTTCAGATACACATATAACAAAAGATATTTTGAATTAAAATTTTTCACAGTTTGCAATGTTTTAAAACCTTGTTTTGATGTATGATTTGAAATTATATATGTACGTGGATATATGTACGTGAAGCCATACTGGCTTATTACATACTCAGTCACTGCTTCCTCCTTTGCAGGGCTGCACAGTGGTTGTGCCTTACTGCTCTTAGCCTGTGATGGCTCTCTATTATCCAGGTCATAGTATAGCTAGTAGTAGTCACTCACATTCAACTGGACTTGTTCTGTGCTGTTGAAGACATTTCGCTGCTTATTTTACTGGCTTTCTCCACTCTAATAAGTATTAGGAACATACTACAGTAATTATAGCCACACAAGTAACTCAACCTCATCTAATTGCCATGGAATGTGTCAAATCAGATGTTAATCCAAGGCAGTGGCGTAACAACCGGGGGGGGGGGCGGTGCGCTGGCCCCGGGCGTAAAGTGGAAGGGGGGCGCCGGCTGAAAATGGCACTTTTGGTAAAATGGTGAAAGTGCCATTTTCCTGCCGTTTTGTCGGGGCAGCCGTGATTTATTTCCTCCCCGCTGGGCCCTGCTCTTTGTCCCTGCTCTTAGAGGAGAGAAAGTGACAGCCGGCCGAGCGCTGCGCGAGGAGATCGCCGTGATCGGCTGGTGTCTCTCCTCCCACAACGCTCAGCCGCCTATCACAGTGCGGCAGAGCGGTGTGGGGGGCGGAGACAGCGCTGTCACAGACTTATTACATAATCCTATCGTATGGTGGTTCAGAGTATGGGGCATGTGTTAATCGTTCGAGCTACACGGATGATGGTTTGAATTGTTGTCCAGTGGCCAGAATAGAGATGTTAAAAGATATTAGAGAGAATTGAACAAAACTGGAGCAGTTGTCCATGGCAACCAATCGGCTTCTTCAGGTAAGTTTTGAAAAGGAAACATAGAAGCTGATTAATTTGGGCAACTGCTCCAGATTGGGACTTCTCCAGTTTTTATAAATTCCCCTAGGACTGATGATATGGAAAACCCCTACCCCTGTTTAGGCAGGATTGTTCCAATATGATGTAGATGGCCTCCCTTATTCCCTCTGTCCAAAATGTGCTCCTTCCCACAGTGCAAGTTTTCTTAAAACAATGCACTGCCTTTGTGGGAGTGTTAAGCAGAGAGTGTTTGCTTCCTCTAGCAGCTACTCTGCTCTCTATTTGTCCTGGTGACCATTATTAGTGAAAGAAAACCCCAAATTTGGGTTTTCATCAGAACAGGAATAGAGGGGAAATCTTCCCATAGGGACACTGGTTCTGGTAACCCCGCTGACCGCCAGGGATTTCTTTGGAGAGATTTCCTCTCATTTCCTGTTAGGGCTGTTGAACAAGAAGTGAAGGGAAATATTTCTAATGGGACACAAAGAGAAAAAAAAATGTGACATGAGTTATAATCCTTCCTCACTCTAAAGACCTTTGGCTTCAGTTCAACTTTTAAAAAATAACTATAAGTAAGAACTCAAAATCAGCTCGCTGAAAATTCGTTTTTTCCCCCCTCTTTTAACACATGAAATCAATATTTACATTTGACTAAATATGTAGTCAGAGTGCATTGCAACACCATGCAAGCTCCTGCTTGCTTCTATTTGATAAAACACTGAAAAGTACAATGAGGGTGTGCGATCTGCACTAACCATAACCTCCAAATTGTATCTTTCTATAGATAAATCACTTACAGGGTTATTCACAAAGCTGCCAAAGGCAACCGAATGAATAACCCAGCCGAAGTGAAGTGAGTCGAACGCTGTTCAGGTATTCACTTCTGGCTTGTATGACTGATTTCAGCCGTACATCGGCTAAAGTCAGCCATACATCGGCTGCCTTCGGTGCAGAAGGACTTCGACTCAGCCGATCCAACATCGCTGCCGTTCGCCCCTATTCTCATTGGGGCCGAGCGGCATTCGGCTCGGCTATTCTGCTCGGTACCTCAGTACCTCAGAGTTCAGTCTTTTATGGAATATTAACATTGCATCAGACAATCTACAAAGTAAAAAGATATTAAACATCTTTCATGAAACAAATGTTAATTATTATTTTTTTGGTACAGGTATCAGCTGAACCTGTTTGCACGGATGTGTCTGGACCGCCAGTATCTCGCCATCAACCAGATCTCCACCCAGCTTTCCGTAGACCTGATCCTACGCTGTATGTCTGATGAAAACCTCCCCTATGACCTGCGTGCCTCCTTCTGCCGTCTCATGTTGCACATTCATGTGGACCGCGATCCTCAAGAAACAGTGATCCCTGTGAAGTATGCCAGACTGTGGACGGAGATCCCCACACGCATCAGCATCCACGAGTGAGTGTTCTAATTTAGTCAGACGTAGTCTCAGCTGGACTGTAACAATAGATAGTAAAGTTGTGCAATACCATTCACAAAGAAAATATGACTTTGGGACTGCACAGCTGAGGTTATAATATAATGTACTCATATAGTGGACTTTTATCTCTTGCTATCATGTAGGTGATTATTGGAATGTCTGTAGGTTTATCCAGATCAAAACTGTAACAGTCTTCCTCCATCTTCACTTGTCTTCAGTTATGACTCCTTCACCGACTCGTCCCGGGATGACATGAAGAGGAAGTTTGCACTGACCATGGAATTTGTGGAAGAATATCTCAAGGAGGTTGTGAATCAGCCCTTCCCCTTTGGTGACAAGGAGAAAAATAAACTAACTTATGAGGTACTGGGATGATGTATGTGTTTCAACAGAAATCTGCCTGTAGAGGAAAAAAAATGTGCAGCATATACAACTGCTAAAGCAGAAACCAATAGATGTTTGCACATTTTGTTTTCCTTAAATGTTCTTTTGCATTCGCTGGAAATCCCCATATTTTCATGTATTATGCAAATGAATGAAAAACTGAAACCCATGTTAGAGGTCCGGCAGAATCCCCACATCCCTTCATTTGCTGTTTTGGCTGTTGGTTAACACTATTTGGCCAAAAGTGTATGGAGACCTGACCATCACAGCTGTATGAGCTTGTTGGGCTTCCAAAACCATGGGCATTATTATGGAGTTGGCCTCCCTTTCTGGCACTAACAGCTTGTGCTCTTCTGGTAAGGCTTTCTACAAGATTCTGAAGTATGTTTCTGGAAATTTGTACCCGATAAAGCATTTGTAAGGTTAGAATGATAAGACCTGGCTTGCAGGCATCCCAAAGGCATTCAGTAGAGTTGTGGTCAGGACTCTGTGCAGGACACTTGAGTTTCTCCACATCAAACCATGTCTTAATGGAGCTGGCTTTGTGCACTGGGACACAGTCATGCTGGAACCAAAGATGGTAATCACCAAACTGTAACCGCAAGGTTGGAAGCCCACAATTGTCTAATATGGCTTTGTATGTTGTAATATTAATAATCCCCATTGCTGCAAACACCCGAATTCAACCATTTGGATGTGCGTTCACATACCTATGGCCATAAAGTGTATGCTGGGATTAACCTTTAGTTGCAGTTAGGCTGGCACCACGTTTTCTAGCTGTACAGCTGATCTGAATGCCACTTGTTATAATCGGGGCATTTGTTGGGACATCTCCTAACCCAATAAAAACAAGAAACCACAAAAAGATTTTGCCCAATATTCTTTCCCTCTAACCTCCTCATCTCTTTGCAGGTCGTCCATTTGGCCCGAAATCTCATCTATTTTGGATTCTATAGTTTCAGCGAGCTGCTGCGACTAACTCGGACTCTTCTGGCTATACTGGACATTGTCCAAAGCCCCATGTCTTCCTACCTGGAGCGGCTGAGCAAATTCCAGGATGGAGGTGAGATTTGGCCCAACCTACTTTTGTTGTTTTCCTGTCTTGACGGCAGAAATAAAGACACAGTGGTAATCCGTGTCTGTCAAGAAAGTATTTCAGCCTTTGATGGGCACTGGTGCATTACACAGACTGCTGACCAAGAAGCAAGTTAAACATAGAAAAATGACTTGAATTTGGGGTCAGTTTGAAATCAGTCAGTTCATTTCTAGTCAGTGGGAGGTAGGATTGATATGCAAGTAAATGTTCTTTAACAAAAATGTATTCAGATGAACCACATTTACATTACAAAAAACATCATTTTGCAACCACAGAAGGCAGATATGACTGAACTGGGTTTCAATTGTGTGTAATTGGTTTCTTGTGTCATACCATAGGGAGGCAGGTGTTCCATCGGTTTAGCACTAAATAACTTTTGATTTCAGTAGCCTGATTGAGCTACTAGAACTATCCTGTGTGACTCCATTTTTAAAGTGTATCTAAACCCAAGAACAGAAATCTACATATTGCAGCTTACCAGTCCTTAGAAGTCTTCTTTCAGACTTTTTCCTTTTTTCACCTGTTGATCCTGCCAGTAACACCATGGCTGTCCCTATAATGAGGCAGCCTGAGGCATATCTTTGGGTCACGTGGGGGGTGGGGGGGTGGGTGGCAGGCAGAGCGGTACAATGTTTGCAGTGTGCGTGCCGCCCTCTTTTGCTAGAGTGTTCCAGGTTGCTAAGAGCCCGGCGATAAAATGTGTAAGAGCCATACACATCTCCCTGACCAGCTTTTGGCAACCTGGGATGCTCTGGCCAGCGCCCTGCCCAGCTCCTGGCAACCAGCGATGTCAACGGTTGCCAGCCACCCAGGTCTTGGCAACCAGTGATGTCACTGGTTTAGCAGTGCATCCCACCCAGCTCGTGGCAACCAGTGACGTCAGTGAACTGGACAGGACACTGGCCAGAACTGGAGCCCAATAGCTTGCACCACCACCACCGTTAACCCCCTGAGGAGTGCACCAGCAGCTGCTGCTACCTACCCTTTGCCTCACGGGATAACCCTGAGTAACACACTTCCTGTCCTAGGGTGACTACACTCACTCACTGTACTGTATCTATGGCGTAGCAGTGTTGTCACCCTAGAACAGGGGTGCCCATTAAGTAGATCGTGATCTACCAGTAGCTCTCAAAGCTGATGCTGGTAGATCACGAAGGGTGTGAATGGCGGCCTGAGTCTGCTGAGCCAAGCTCCCTGACACCTTTCTGGTGGATTCTGGTGGTTGAAGTGCTATGTATTACATCAAAGAATATTAGTTTACACAGCCTGCGGCACTGCAGTGTTTGCAAAATACAGCAAGGTGAGCCAGGAGAGAGAGGAGAGACAGCCAGGGGAGAGAGCAAGGAGAGCCAGCCAGGAGAGCGAGCAAGCAAAGAGACAGCCAGGAGAGCGAGGAGAGACAGCCAGCAGAGAGAGAGCGAGGGAGTTTTTTTTTTCGTTGGTAGATCTCATGTAGCTGTAGTATTTGAAAAGTAGATCTTAACACAAAAATTGGGGGCACCCCTGCCCTAGAACATGAAATATGTTAGTACTAATGAACACCACCACCTTTCCTCTTCTCTGTAACCAAGGTCTAGTACTCTGTACTCCTCAGAGATAGCTTAAAAACTATATAACTGATAACAATCCATAGAGGAAGTTCTCAACTCATAGGATTACCGGCAGGATCAACATATATTTTATTTCCACTTACAAACAGATATAGTACAGGTGAGCCCCATATGCAGAAGTAATGGGTTTTACACCAGGCCTCTGTTGGCGGATTGTAAAGGAGGTCGGCATTGAGAAGGTGCCCTCATACTGCAACGTTGTTAGTTTGATTATAGCTAAGCTCAGCTTTTGCCCGAACATTGATCTAAAAAGTTTTATAACAATCCATAGAATTCTCCTCTGATGCCATCCTGTGATTGTCTATCGCTCCTCAAAAACTTTCACCTATTATTGAAACTCGTAACCCGGGAGCCTTCACCGCCCCCAGGCCTCTGTACTAATTTGAGAACAATTACAGAACATTAAAATTACTTCTATACAATTCTGTCGGATCTTAATGATCTCTCTTTGGCTTATCAGCACTTTCTGAACTTCGGGCTGAAAGAATCTGATAAATTTAATTTTCACCGCCACATCCTTAAAATTCGTCTTTCATTGTCTTACATGAAGCACATTGTCCATCGCCTTCTTAGATATCCGTATTAGTGCTATTGAGTTGTCTTGGTGGCCCATATATCTTGCCCGCCGTTTTCAGCGGTAATTTTGCCGTTTCATTTTTTTTTCCCCCTCCCTTCCTCCTTATCTGCGAGTCTGAAATGGTATGTATTCCCCTTTGTGTGTCGCGGCTCTTATCATATCTTTTCAACCTGAGAGGTAGAATGTGTCACTCATACAGCTGGCAGGTTAATGAGCTGATATCATCGGCAGTGGCTCCGGGGCATCCATTGTCTTGCCAGTCATTAGCTAGCCTTGCATCAAGAAGCGCCAGTTCATTGTGCGCATGAAAAGGCAAACTAGATCGTTCCAGACAGCTTGCTGCGTTGCTTGCATGTCTTAATAGTTTTCTGGGCGCTTAATTAGCCCGAGTTTAAACTGTCGATTTGTATCATGCAGAATACTACTTGGCTTCTTTGGAAAGAGGAAGGGAAAGAAGTTTTCGCTGAGAGCCAATGAATGCTAAAGTGGTACTCCTTCTTAAAGCTGAACTCTGGGCATGCGTAAAAGGCATGAGCTAAGGCAGCTCTGTATTCCTTAATACACCCTTACTGTAAATGTGTGTGTGTGTGTGTTTTTTTTTAAATGCAAGCAGTGAAAGTTTCTGAATATGACTCAATATCAGCTTCCAGCAGAGCTCAGACTAGGAGTGGAAGAAGAAGCACAAGGAGCCAATCCAGGGGCGTAACTAGAAATCACAGGGCCCCATAGCAAAATTTTGTATGAGGCCCTGTGATTCCTAGTTGCGCTCTTGCAGAGCCCACCTTAGATCCCAAACAGCTCACCTGAGAGTGACCCTGCAGAGCCCACCATAGACACTATGGTGGGCTCTGCAGGGTCTCACGTGGGCTGGTCACACCCCTGCAAACCTCTTACCTGTCAGCTCCGATCCGCTGTCCGTCTCCTCCTCCTGCAAGGGCCCCCGCCTTCTCTTCCATCGCCGGGCCCTGTCTCCCCCTTCATCATCAGGCCCCTCCTCTTCTGACATCAACAGCCCCACCTCCTCTTCCGTCGCCAGGCCCCGCCTCCTCCGCTGCCGACGCCAGGCCCAGCATCCTTTGCCGCAGCTGCTGGCTGTCAGTGACACAGCAGCGACTGTGAGGAGAAACGCACCGCTGCAAAGATCACTGACAGGATGTCAGTGGTCTAACAGCAACACGTTCCTCCTCACACCCGCCAGTGACAGCCAGCAGCCTGAGATGCCAGAGCAACCCGGGCGGCCTGCATGGCATCAGGGGTATGTCCTGGCCGGGCCCCCCCTGTGCCCTGGGCCCCATAGCAGCCGCCTGGGTCACGATTGTTACGCCACTGAGCCAATCAGATGTGCTGATAGGAGGAGAGAGTAAAGTGATGATGACAGAGAGATGAGCTCATCAGCCTGCTGCTTCTCCTGTCACTGTCCAGTCACAGGCTAGGGAGGGATAAGACCTCTAAAGGTGCCCATACACCTTAGACCATCGCAAGACTTTTGTCTTGCAATGGTCGTATGCTCATTAAAAGCCCGTACGATCTGCCCACCTTGGACGGGCAGATCGTACTTGCGATCATCGGAAGCCCGCCCCGCATCAAGCAGCAGCAGTGTAAGTCATCCCTGGAGCCCATGTAGATAAGAAATGGCAGCAAAGAGGCCTCAGGAAAAAAAGGTATAAACAAGTATTTCATAAAAGTACCAGAGACATCATCACTGTGCTGTACATAGCCTGTGCAGAGAGCAGAGCTGTGGGAGGGACCCAGCAGGCACCACCCACTATAGAATGCCTGCAGAAAACTAAAGGAGGTGGCGGAGACAAGACCAGTCATCCTTCACAAGCAGAGAAAGCAGCAGTGAGCGGTCTTTATTACAGGAAGTGCCACACTGGATTACTGCACAGATCTGGAAGAAATACACAAAGCTCACCAAGATTCCAGGAAGAATTACTATAATATAATTGCTTATTCTGGAGTTTAGCATTAAAGGAGAACTATGAGGTGAGTGCTTTTCTAGCAGACCTGTAACAAGTAACAATGAGACTGTCACAGGTCGGCTCAGTAGATCGGGAAAGTAGGAAAATGATTTATTCACTGACGGCCTTCTGTGACGGTTGATTAGCGGCTGCCTTTAACAACAAGGTGTAATCTCTTGCTGCTTTCTATGTGGGGAATAAGCTGAAAATAAGAGAAAGTGCTACAAACATCTTTTGGGCCAGGAAGTGAAAATAAAACCTTAAACCCCAAATTTTTTTTATAGTGCAGGTACATTTAGATCAGGGGCGCCCACAATTTTTCATCTGGAGATCTACTTTTTAAATGACGAGCTCAATGAGATCTACCAACGAAAAAACACCTGCATTCGGGGCGTAGCAGTGCATTGAAGTCAATGGCACCGCAGCCACACCCCCAGTGCAATCGCCGCACCAGGAATGCAGGCACATTAGTGCCTGCATTCCAGTCCAGTGTGATCTGCAAAAATGCTGCATTTTTGCAGATCGCGCTGGACCGGAACGCAGGCACTAATGTGCCTGCGTTCCAGGTGCGGGCGATTATACTGAGGACGGGGGACATGGCTGTGGTGCCATTGACTTCAATGCACCGCCACGCCCCTGAATGCAGGGAGCCGGCCGGCTTGCATTCCAATGCGTTCTAGAGGCCGAACACTCTGGAACGCAGACTTTGTGGTGTGAACCGGCCCTTTCTTCTCTCTCTCCTCACGCTCTCTCCTCGCGCTCTCTCTCCCCTGTTTCTATCTGCTGTCTCTTCTCTCTCTCTGCTGTCTCTTCTCTCACTTTTTCTGCTGTCTTTCCACTGTCTGTCTTTTCTTACCTCCACTGCAGCAGTTTCCCAAGTCTCCTTTCCTCTCTCCTTCCCGTCTGCGGTGTCTGCCACATTCAGCCGCACGAGCACCGCGGTAGGACAGGACACAGGTCAGTGAGCCAATCGCGATCTACCAGTGTTCGCTTTGCGATCTACTGGTAGATCGTGATCTACCTAATGGGCACCCCTGATTTAGATCCTCTCTGAAATGTATATTTCTAAGACATTTGGGAAGATTTTGTCGTAATGAGAGTGGCCACCAGCACATGAAGTGAGAGGAAATCCCTCAGTGGGGACACCAACAGCAAGGGCAGTCTATATATCTCTATTGCAAATGTATATCTCTAAGGATTTTATCTTGTATCTTCTCCAGAAATCTGAAAGCCTCTCAAAACCAAAGAACAAAAATGTCATATTTTGCCGCTTTCCGGTCCTTGGATAGGGTGGCTGCATTCGTTTTCTTTTTTCAGGTGTTGTTCCCTTTAATTTCACCTGCTGATCCTGCTTCCTGTCCTAGAGTCACAACACTCGCTCGTATACTTCCTCTAGGAAGTGTGTTTAGACTACAGAACACTTCCTCCTCTTCATATGTCCATAATATGGGTCAGGGGCTTTGCTATGGTCCACAGAGATAGCTGGGAACAATACTGTTTAATAAGGCCACATAGGCTGAGAGCATAGAACGATATCAGCTCACAGGATTTCTGGCAGGATGAATAGTATTTTTTGCACTTCTCAAATACATATTGCAAAACAATTTAATTGGTATATTTATTGGAACAAAAGAGAGCAAAAAAAAAAGACGTTCATGTATTAGCCCTGGTGAAGTGGTCTCTCTGCAGAGGTGTATCAGATCTCTGCAGAGAGAACACTGCTTCCACACAGAGAGCAAGGATCTTTCTCTCCAGGATGGTGGCAGCGGATAACAGGATTTACTACTCTGGCTGAGGCTGCTCTCTAAAAGAAACAAACTGGAAGATTTTGTACTCTCTTTGTTTTGAATGTCAATTTTCATTTGTGCTTTGAGCAAAGATTTCAGTCTTGAAAGCTGTGTTGTGGTTCCAGGTAATAATGTCATGAGAACGATCCACGGGGTTGGAGAGATGATGACCCAGATGGTCCTCAGCCGTGGCTCCGTCCTTCCCATTGCAGTTCCGGATGTTCAGCCCAGTCTGCACACCAGCAAGCAGACCAGCGACAGCGAAGACATAACCGTTATGGACACTAAGCTGAAGATCATCGAGATCCTACAGGTAGTAAACATATAGTATGTATTATGATGATGTGCCATAGCTCAACTGGACTAATCTCATCCCTCTTCCAAAGTTCAAATCCAGTCATCTTGCATTGTCCAATGGGGCTTCACCTTTATGGTCCCTGGTGCTTATTTACAACCATTCGGCACCCTGTTACAACGACCACCTTAAACGGAAGCAGTATAGGGGTTTGCTGGCTATTTCAGGCTGGTGGGTTGGTAAGCAGTCCTGTAAGCAGGGCCATTGTACACGTTCACTTGAGCCCATTTGATTCAGGGGTGCACAAATTAATATGGAATTCAGAAGCCAACCTGTCCAATCCAGAAGCCAGCAGGATTTTTTTTTAGGATCCAACGGCAGTATCAACAACTAGATAAAAACTTTAAAAGTTAGGCGCCAGCTGTAACTTTTAAGGAGCATTGACAACCTTTGTCTTGTTTCAGTTTATTCTTAGTGTGCGGCTGGATTACAGAATTTCCTATATGCTATCCATCTACAAGAAGGAGTTCGGAGATAATGGAGGCACTGTGGACAACTCAACAGTTTCAACAACCTCGCCTCCTGATACACCGACCCTGTCAGGTGGGTGGGAAACTGACTGTCTTGCGTGCCTGCTGTCATTTAGATCAGTGGTTCTCAACCCGTGTAACCTCGGGACCCACATGTTTCCTTGGTCATTAAGGCGTGACCCAAAAATGATTTCATTACTTTTCAGTAGATAATGACTTCTTAGCAGAGTCTTACAATTCCTTACTAGATGGTGTCCAGCTCATGCACGATCTGACTGCTGAACACCCTTGCATTGGGTGAGCATTCACGCTTCTACCTATGGAGCAGAAAGGGTGAGCGCTTAAAGGAGATCTATGAGGTGAGTGATTTCCACTCATCCTCATATTTAGAGCCGACCTGTGACAAAGAAGCTGTCACAGGTCGGCTCTATCGATCGGGAAGTGAGCAGAGCAGCACACTTCCCGATTATCTCCCTGCAGTGAGTGGTGACTGTCAGTCACCGCTCCCCGCAGGGATTCCACCCCTCTCGTCTCCGATCCTCCAGTGCTGAGTGGAGGAACGGACGGAGAGGGGGTGTGTACAGCTAGCTCTGCCTCTAGATAGGCAGAGCCCGCTGTCACTCACGCAGCTGGGCGGATCTCGACAGTAATGTCAGGATCCGTCCCGGCTGTGCGCTCATAGTATGCCCGCGATATACTGAGCTTTGTGTGACGAGAGGACGCTGGTATATGTCCTCCCGTGACATTAAAGAGATCTTTGAGGAAAAACACTTACCCCATAGTTCTCTTTTGAGTGCTGGCTTGTTTGTTTGAGGGGAAATAGTGAGAAATAGTGAGTGATTATATGCAAACTTGTATCCTACATGATGTGGATAATTATATACAGTATATTATATATAATTATATTATTTTAATTATAAGAAGGGTTCATGAGAGCATGACTTAAATGTAAAGGTATGGTAGCATGATCCTTTATAATATTCAGAAAGGAACCCTCCTGCCTCATCTACCGTTAAGCATTTCACTTCTAGGAGTCTCTTCAACAAATGAATATCTACTCAACCATGAGTTTGATCGCTGAATCATGTGATCACCACTACAGCCAATCAGCAGCTGTTATTTATGAGCAGTTGTAATAAATGTGATGCCACCACTGGATTATAGGAAGTCCCTGTGGATGGCACCTTCTCATGGACTGATGGGCTAGATGGACTTAAACCTCTTCTTCAAAGTCTTTGATTTATTTTAATTTACTTTTTATTTTCTAGCTGTTGTTGCTGTTGTTCCTGATATCGATGAAATTGCAGCACGGGCTGAGACCATGTTTGCTGGAAGGTGAGTCAAAAGTGCCATTCCGCTCGTACCAGGAAATTAAAGCAGAAATATGACCTAAACTTTTTACCTTTTAGTTCAGGAGAGTGTTGAAGGGCTGAAACCTCTGTCAGGGTTTTTTGTTGTCGTTGCCTGCGTTGTCACCTCGTTTCCTGTCCTGGTGATTGTCAGATCTTGCTTTTTTTTTACATTAGTGATCCCTAAGAGATCCCTAAAATGTTACAGTTAACTTTTGCTTTGCTTTTGCAAGGCAAAGCAACATGGTCACTTAACTTCCTCCTACCTAGCAGCACTTACTTACTTTTGCTTTGCTGAAGAGGCAAAGGAACACATATTGTGCTCACCCCCATGACACACTACAGACCATTTTAGGAAAAAGCCATTTAACATATTTAACATACTTTATGTATATAGAGCTGGTGAGTTACATAGCCAGCCCTTTACAAAGATCACAGAGACACATTAGTCACCGCCCACGAGGAGCTCACAGGAGAAGCTTGCTATTATGACATTGCTAATGGAGAAACATCTGTTACTGCAGATAATGGCATATTGTTGTTATACTGATTTCTGATGCCGTAGGAGGGGCTTGCAACAAGGGATCAGTTGCTGGGAACTCATTTAGGCACGCTGTCCGAACTGCATCTCCCAAGAGCCCTTTCCCTGCACACAGTGTGTGGGCATCCTCTTGGGAGTCAAGGCAGCAGCATTGTTTTGCTGGAAATAAATCATCATATGCATATCGGGAGGGGCGGGTGGTATTCTGTAGTCCAGCAGGCAGGTCTCACTACACTCGGCATTTGGCTCCTCCAAATCAGTGTTGTCACTGATTTTAGAAGCTCTCTGGATTTCTTCAGATCCACGTGTCATTTTTTGTACTTGCAGCATTTTAACAAAAAGGAATATAGGGAAATGTAAATAAATTGAAGAGATGTGCTGAGTATGTTTTTATTGATTTCTCCTGACATACATTTTAATGCTAGCTGCTGATTTTCTTTTTGAATGTTTATTCTAGCAAAGAGAAGAATCCTGTGGAACTGGACGATGAAGGTGGCAGGACCTTCCTGCGGGTCCTCATTCACCTGATCATGCATGACTATCCACCGCTGCTCTCTGGTGCTCTCCAATTGCTCTTCAAGCATTTTAGCCAGAGGGGGGAGGTCCTACAGGCCTTCAAACAGGTACGGAGGTCATATGTTCTATATCACAAAATCCACCTCTGCTCTGATTTTTCCACTTGCCCAAAGCATCGCTAAATGTAGGCTAAAGATAAACTTTACTCTGCTTCTTTTTTGCTTTAGCTGGCTCCTCCATCATCAACATACTAGTAAATTTTTTAAATAAAACCTTTCCATTTTAATGACACAACTTATTTTAGATCCCATGGTGTCACTTGGTGTTTATTCTTCTCTATGCAATGCAGGCACATTGTGACTGTTAGGAGGGGCTGGCAGGGTGTTGTACATAGTTTCCTGAAAACATCACAGCACCTCTTAGGAGCCCACAGCCATGATGCACGCAGTGTGCTGGCTCTTGGGAGGAGTTATGTAAATATCAAAAAATCCAATGAACGAAGAGGGGCGGGTCAAGGACAGTCAGCCTTGAGAGGAAAGTGCTAGATGATCCAGCCAGAAAATGAGGCGGGCTCTATCTGACTTGCTGCAGCTTCTAATGCACATTATGAGAAGATCACAGTGTGCAGTGAAATCAGAATGAGCAATTTCAGTCCAGGAGAGGAGCCGGTACAGCTGTCCAAGACTGACGGGAAGGCCGGGGGTTTAGATTTAAAGGCCTGCACGCCAGCTTAAGTTGGCTGTATGATAGCCACAACAATGGCTATGGCAATGGTCATGTTTCCTATCCTCGGTGGTCAAGTCAGTTTTTACATGAAACACATATTCAGTGTAGACTGACTATTAGACTGCACAATGCTCACATATAATAACACATACTGCTGAATGAGATCTTGTATATAGATATTGTCTTGTTCCTCAGTGTACTCCTTACATTGGTGCCAGTACCTTTCATGAAGACCTTCCAAAAATCACAATGTCATTAGTAATGTCACAACGTCAGAGCTCCGTGTCTGGCCCCATTTAGGGCTGTTTTTAGTTGATATTACACAAGGCATTATGGGTAAAAAAAAGGCCTTTAGCAACTACCTGGCTGTCCTTCATGATAACTACATCCCTGGCTTTATTGGCTATTAGGCTGGACAGCGTCCACAGATAATATTACACGGTTTGAGCGTTTCTACAGGCAGAGTGAGATCTTGTATCATCACATTATATCTCTTCCTCCGTGCAGGTTCAGCTCCTGGTATCAAATCAGGATGTCGACAACTACAAGCAGATCAAGGCCGACCTGGACCAATTACGGCTGACGGTGGAGAAGTCTGAACTTTGGGTTGAAAAGAGCAATAGTTACGAGAACGAGGAATTGGGAGAAGGGCAGGCCAAGGATGGCAAAGAGCAGATTAATGAGGTGAATTAAGCGCTGAGCTGCTTGGCTTCTATTTCATTTACTGGCTGATTAAACAAAGGTCTGTAAATGGCAGAGACAAGTTCTCTGCACCCCCACAGGCACAATTAACAGCATAGGAAACTGACAAGGCAGTGAGGACAGAAGCAGGTCAGTAACTTAGTGCGGTGAGTCAACAAGCCTCCGGGATACTTTACCGCTACTTTTTTTTTTAACCCCTACATCAAAGTCTAGATGCCCAAACAAAACTGGACATGTGACAGTAAACTTGCCAGTAATTCTATTGGGAATTTACCTTCCTAAATAGTTTACATTTTTTGTTAAACATATTCAATTTTTATTTGGTATTGGGATGCACCGATACCAATACTAGTATCGGTATCGGTGCCGATGCCGAGTATTTGGGCGAGTACTCGCCCAAATGCTCCGATGCCTAGCCCGATATTTCTGGTATCAGGAAGCCGGGCAGCTCATCATTACACGCTGCCCGGCTTCCCGATTGGCCGGGAAGACGGCTCCATGCTCTATTTGCCCAGGTGATGATTGTCAGCGAGAAAGAATGTGAGGGAAGATACAAAGTTTTAGAGTGGTCACCAGAACAACAGGTAGGGGTAAATCTTCCCTTGGAGACACCTGTGCCAGTTTCCCCTCACAGTTTTCCCGTACTTTACAGTGATTCCCTCTGTCTTCTTGTTGTGTCTCCTGGACAGGAAGTGATGGGAAATCTCCTCAACTGGACAGAGGCAGCAAAAAAAAACAGACTGATAGGTTTAAACCCTTACCTACCCTTGCCTACTTTTGTTTTGGTTATTTTTACGGGTTTATTGGGCTTTAAACGGCACCTGGGGGATACAGAAGCTCCTGTTATCCATTATTTAGATGTTTATGTGCCAAAAAAATAAAAAAAATACCCCATAAACACACCTGCTAAAGGAAGTGCAAAAAATAGAATTTTTTTTGTTTTTTTAATTCAGATTTCCCTTTAAAGGAGAACTATGGGGTCAGGGCTTTTCCCCATAGTTCTCCTAAGGGTAACGGGAGGACACAAACTAGCGTCCTCCCGTCACCCAAAGCTCTGTATACCGGGAGCTACAGCGCACGGTATACTGAGACGCCGCAGCCGGAAAGGATCCTGACAATTCTGTCTGGATCCACCCATCTGCGGGAGTGAAAGCTGGCTCTGCCTATCTAGAAGCAGAGCCAGCTGTGCCCACCCCTCACCCGTCCGTTCCGCCAGTCAGCGCTGGAGGTTCGGACAGGGGAGGGGGGAATCCCTGCAGGGAGCTGTGAGTGACAGTCACGGCTCTCTGCAGGGATAGATCGAGAAGTGAGCGAGCGCCGGTATGTGTTCGCTCACTTCCCGATCTATTGAGCCGACCTGTGACAATCTCATTGTCACAGGTCGGCTCAGATTATGAGGCTGAGTGAAAATCACTCGCCTCATAATTCTCCTTTAAGCAACCCAATGAGCAAAGTTGAGTTTTTACTTTAGCAAAATTTTGTTTTCTGAATTTGTTATCTTTAAAAAAGTTCACCAAAGTCCCACGCATTCATTCCTATTGATTTGACCCACCAGTAGACAATTCTTTTTACCACCATTTTGGCTGGCATTACACTAGGGCTGGACAAATCCCAGTAGCAAGGTAGCCGATGCTCCTTAAAATCTACAGCCGGCACCAACGTTTGAGGTTTTCTCAAGTTATCAATGGCTCCTAAAAACAAATTCTGCTGGCTCCTGGATTTGACAGACTGACTCCTAAATTCCATATTAAATTGTCCACCCCGGGTTATAGTTTTAGTGCCCGTCTGATGTGGACATATTTCATGATACAGCATTAAGAAAATATATACGGTATGTGTGAACAATCCTTTCCTATAGCCTGTTCCCGTGACATTACTGAAGTGATAATGTCACAGGTCATTACCACAGTGAAATGTATTTTTTACATTTTGTTTTTACGAAGGATCTGAGAACAGACCTCCGCCGCTATCTGATATGCACTTTAATTGGGACTTTGGAGACAGCTGAATGAGAGATGATGAATCACAGGGAGAATAACACGGCACAATGGAGGAGCTCATGTTATATGGAATCTTCTGCCTTCTTATTTATAATACCAAATGCAGAATCTGACCTCCTGTACCCAGACTGTAAGCTCTCCGGGGACACTGCTTGTCCATTGCCCTGGGGAGTTTGTAATGGTTATAGTATATCTAAACCCTGAAACAAAACATATAGTATGTTGGAGCTTACCAGTCCTTAGATGTGGCAGCTGCATTCATTTTCTTTTTTCAAGCTCCTTTTCCTTTATGTTTACCTGGTGATCCTGCCAGTAATACACTTCCTGTCCTACGGTGACAATTCTCAATCCCTGTACTGTATACTATGGAGGACCAGTGTTGTTACTCTAGAGCAGGATATTGTGTTAGGACTACAGAACTGCTTTTCTGAGACAGCACTGGAATTTTGGCAGGATCAGCAGGTATTTATTTGCACTTATTGAACAGAGTATACCTTTAATTTACATTTTCATTGTAAACTGGCTACATGCTGTGTTTCATTCCAGGACACAAGTATTCTGGGTCCTGTTGAAGATGGGACCAAGAAGCCTCAGATCGACAGCAACAAAGCCAACAACTACAAAATTGTCAAAGAGGTACTATACTGACTTTGTATATGCATTAACATTGTTGGTTATTGCTTATTTTGCAGTGGGATAAGTGTGTTTTGTGTCACCAGTAACAATCCATATTGACGTTACAGATCCTGATCCGGCTAAGCAAGCTATGTTCACAGAGTAAGAAGGGCCGTAGCCAGCAGCAGAGACTTCTGAAGAATATGGGAGCTCATTCTGTGGTTCTGGATCTTCTGCAGATTCCATATGAAAAGGTCTGTTCTTCATCAAGCAGGTTGTGTCACACGGCCAGAACGCGAGGTTACAGCTTGGAGCTCATTGACTGAGGTCTAATATCCGCTTTGCCTTTCCCAGTGCCACAATGACTTATGTAGCAGTTAAATATATTCTAAAAGTTTCCTTTAAGTAGGGTTGGACCATCCATTGGGCAACTTAGGTAAGAGCCTAGGGCACGAGGATGTCCACAGGGCCCAGCTACAAGCTTCTGCAGTGTACCAAAATAGGAAATTGGTCAAAGCTGTGTACTGCCTGCCACTTTGCAAGGGAAGAAGCACAGTTGTTGTCTGACAGGGCCATAGCAGTGCAGACAACACAAATGGGGTGGCAGTGCCTACTGCAGTCCCTATTAAAGTCATTCTAAGAGATGGGAGGACCAAACCTGGTACCTTGGCTTGTTCTGTCCTCATCTGTCTCTGCCTATAAGGTAACCATTGACACAAATTGGTGGTCTATTAAAAAAACTCTGCAGTTAGCAAGATTTCTAAAGTAGATGTGAACCCAATCACCAAAACCTCATATAAGCTTTAACATGTGACTGTCATTTTCAAACTCATTTTCAATCTTAATAAGTCTCCAGATTTCATTAAAATAATATCTGGGTGATCTTGTAATTAAGATTGAGAAGAATAAGACACTCAGTCCCTGTTTCCCAATTGTGCTCCTGTGTTGTCACTCTGTCACAAAGGCTTCCAATGGAGATTACAGGTTTCTAATTCAGCACAGATTATGCAGACATTGTCCTCTGTTGTCCCGATTGTGCTCCTGCATTACCACCATTGTCACTGTCAGGAAGATGGGCCAGAGCAATGATGGGCAGCAAATCAGCAGCACTGTGATGCAAAGAAGGATGTGAAAAAGTGATAACATTAACAAATGGAAAGTATTTATGATACAAAGAGCAAACTAAATGTAATCCAATCAGGGTTACATGTACTTTAATGTTGAGGTGGATGGTTGTATAGTCAAAAAAAGTGGGTGGGTTTTTGATTCAGATGTACGTACTTTTCCACATGCAGGACCACATTGAGGCCCCCGTACTTGGCTAAAACATAGTTATAACATTTTACTGAACAAAGCTCTTGATGATATAAAAGCCAGTTTGTGACCAGCAGAAGCCTGATTAGACAATTTGTCTTCTTTGTGTTTTTTTCTATCCAGACTGACGACAAAATGAACGAGATCATGACCCTCGCTCATAACTTCCTACAAAATTTTTGCCGTGGCAACCCGCAGAATCAAATCCTGCTTCATAAAAACCTGAACCTCTTCCTGACTCCGGGGGTAAGGGACTTCAACAGCTCCAATCGCAAGACCAGGATAGTTGAGAGTTAAATTGAACTTAGATTCCATTGTTAAAGGCTCAGTTCACCTTTTGCAGCATTTTTCATTGTACACCCATATTCTGGGAATAACATCAAAAATGTTCACATCACA